ACTTGGAGAATGATTCAAAGTAGTCGCATCTAAATCAACAAAATCAATGTTATAGCAAAAAAAACATACAGAATGGCTGCCATTTTTCATTTTCAAAATGGCTTTGTACTTTAGGCAAACTGACAACAAGGGGGGGGGGCAAATTTCAGATCTGAGAAAAAACTTTGGCGTTTGCGCGGAAAAAGATTTTGGGCCCCTAAAATAATATTTCAGAGGTTGACAGTTTTGTCTTAATAAATCGTATTTTGTGGGTAAATGTCACCAGCTTTGCAGTTAAAAATAACAAAGAGAGTTTTTCTGCGATTGCCATTTTGTTACATCTTTAATAGTCTTGTATGTGCTTGATAATGGATGGCATTTTGATATTTTGTCTTCCAGTTTTAACAAATATGTTGTAATTGAGACATTCACACTACATGATTGTTTATATATACTTATTACAACCAGACCAATATTATCTCATAAATTGATGAATTAACTCTCACATCAAGCATTAATTTTTCTTGTTGATAGCAAGTGAACACCCGTTGTAATATATCTACCTCTTATTATAGATTCAAATCAATCATTTTCTTCATTTTCTCATGAAACAGATCATGTGATTAGATAGAATCAAGTGTTAATGCAATATCTCCACTGTAGTTATTAGGAGACCCTTTAAAAGAGTCTTCCAAAAGCTTGCTTAATTTTCCCTTATTTTTCTTTAACATATTTATTAAGAGGGCAGACATATGGCATCCTATCTTACTCACTTCGAGAGCCATGTTAGATTTTGAAACTTATGGCTCTCCAATGGAGAAATGGACAGCTGAATGATAGTCCCTTTGAAACACGAATTAAGTTGATCCGGGGCTTACTTTTATTCTCTAACTATGTCATACATCATTATCATCCTTCCGTGCAAGTTTTGGAGCGCTGTAAGTACTTCCTTTTTCGATCAAGACTTGTAATTGTTAGTCCATTGAATGTTTTTTTCTGCCAAATTCCAATAAGGCGTTTTCTGCTCTGACATTTTCGTAAATCTCCGGAGGTTGTCCGAACCTTACTCATTCTCAAAATTCATATCGTTCATTGTGTATCTTGCTCCTAGCAAACCACCATATTGGAAATGGTTCGAAAAAACATTCACTCGTTGAACAATTTACAAGTCTTGATCAAAAAGAAGTATTTCAGCGCTCCAATACTTGCACGGATTGATGATACTGATATAAGTCACAGTTAGAGACCAAAAGTAAGCCAAGAATCTCATTATTCATGTTTTAAAGGTCACTATTATTCAGCTGTCCAAGTGCACAGTGGGAAAGCAATTATATCAAAATCCACATAGCTTTCACAGGAAGTAAATCCTATTCATTTTATAAATTGAGATTATTATCATTTAATTATTCATTCTTCCTCACTCTATTTCCCCTGCTTCCAACTACCTTACAGTTATGTATGCTCCTACTTAGGGGTTTATTGGGATGATCTTGCCAGGAAAAGGATTTTTTATCTCGGTAAATGTCAAAGGTCAAAATCTAGGTCAAATCAAAATTTATTTTCAAGTTTCTCAAAGTTTGTCCTTATACTTAATTATTTCTTACAATGAATTAAATTATTACTTGATATACGTAATGACTACATATTGTTCACTGTATGCCTCAACAAAATTTGAGAAAATGTAAAAAAGTCGCTTTTACATTTTAAAGGTAGAAAAAATTTCATTTTCAAATTGACTTCTAGGTCAAGGTCAAAGGTCAAAATCTAGGTCAAAAAGTCAAAATTCAAAATGTCAAAGGTCAACATCATCAAACCAGGTCACAAATTCTCGAAGTCTGAAAGTCCTCTAAGCAACTGACTATTTTTTAAAATGTTGCACCAGTTTTGAAAATTAGAGCTCAGAAAAAGGTAAAATTTGGACATTTTCTAACAGCTTGCTTCAAATTGAACATTTCCTTTTTAAACATCATTAACAGGTTGTAAGATCTTGCGATCTTAATGTCTAGTGTCAATAGTTTAAGGATTCAAGCAAAATTAACTTTTATACTGTCCCTACTTTCTCCACATTCATTTAAGAAAATGGTATTGGAGTTATAGCCTGGACAGATGGACATATGGACAATTTCTCTATCCCTAAGGAACTACCTTTACAGCTATCAATAACCAAACCTCTCCTTATCATCTCCCTATTTTCAAATCATGTGACTAATGCAAGCCAATTGGCTGTCACAACAAAGTCCTTGGGAATTAACTCAAAAGGAGACAGTAATAATCATATCACAAGAATTCTTGAGTTCTTTAATCAACCGAAGGCTGATTAATTCCAGTAGGTAAATATTTTTGATAAACATTTCATTTATATATGTGTATTTGTAATTTATCTCAAGGGCATACAAATAATTCAGTGGGTCTTTAGCAGTTTGCAAATATTTAGTATTCTACATCATACGTGTGTCGTTTGATATCATCAATCAATAATATCGAAGTAAAAGTTACACTTTACATAGTAACTGTGATTAATCCATATTCTCAAAGGTCTGTTCAGATTCTACATTATGACTGACAGCCATTTTTTAATACAACATGTACATGTAGCTCAGTTTCAGTATTTTCTTCAGTGGGTCCTTTAATCACTTTCTTTGTAGGTTTTATGGTATTTTTATTGGAATAATATAACAATAATATATAAATAAAGTCTTTTGTTTATTACAGAAATCTGTTTTTTGCCTCCCACCCTCCTAACGTTCAATCCATTCAGAACGTTATTCAAAATGAATTGCCATATATCTGTGAAATTCACTTAATATTAGATCTTGGATCTGAACATGAATTCAAGAAAGTCTGCGTACTAGAATCTCTGGATGGACAGATAAATAGACTGAGAGGACAAAGGTCCTAATACTTACAATACAAATGAATGTGTGAAATATTGATAAAAAATATCCAACAAATAGATGGACAGATGAATGAAGAGATGAACAAACAGATTGTGAAATAAATGGCTGGATCAGGGATAGACTGATGGATGGATGGACTGACTGAGAGATGGATGATGTACAGACAGACAAATGGCCAGCTCCTCTATATCCAATATTAACTTTATAGATTGGATAAAATAATGGTAGGGTATGGGTAAAATGTGTCAAGGTATAGATTGGATAAAATAATGGTGGGGTATGGGTAACTAGAAAAACAGCAACTCCCACCGAACAAAACATATTATGCTTATTATAGCTAGTGTAAATGTTGAAATGTTTGTGCACTTTGTGATAGAAGCATGAAATTTGGCACAAAGTTAGTTTATACCATTGTGAACTAGGCATCATCATATAAAAGGACGATTCTCGGTTTGGAGAACGAAGTTCATCAATCTAAATGAGCATTATCCCTGCTTCGGACAAATTTGATTTTTTCACATAATATAGATTTGAATGTCTTCTTTTGAATAGTCATAATTCAGTTTGGGTAATATTTCTAGATTTTTCGCAAAAAAAATATTAGCGCAGTACACTATTGAACTTCTTTCCCAAAATCGAGACTTGTATTTTATTGAATCGATCTAATTGAGCATTATCCCTGCTTCAGACCAATTTGTTATTTTTACATTTTGTGGATTTAAATGTTCTCTTTTGAATATTCAAAGTTTAATTTGGGTAATATTTCTATATTTTTCATGAAAAAAATTATTAGCTCAGGAAATCGTCCTTTGAACCAAATCCCTTCACTGGTCTCTGAGTTATCAAAGATTACGTTTTTTACGATTGTGGGCCGCCATCTTGAAATTCAGCCGCCATCTTGAAAATTATTTCTTGAACAGAGCTACTGTGTCCCTAGGCATAATCATATAAAATTTCAACCAAATCTGTTCACTGGTATTTGAGTTATCAAAGATTACGTTTTTTACGAAAGATTGCCGCCATTTTGAAATTAAGCGGCCATCTAGAAAATGTTTTGTCGAACATAGCTACTGTGTCCCTAAACATCATCATATAAAATTTGAACCAAATCCGTTCACTGGTATTTGAGTTATCAAAGATTACATATTTTTACGAAAAATGGCCGCCATTTTGAAATTAAGCGGCCATCTTGAAAATCTCTTTTTGTGCGAAACTCCTTTGTCCCTAGGCATCAGCATATAAAATTTGAACCAAATCCGTTTACTGGTATATGAGTTATCAAAGATTACGTTTTTTACGAATATGGGCCGCCATCTTGAAATTCAGCCGCCATCTTGAAAATTATTTCTTGAACAGAGCTACTGTGTCCCTAGGCATAATCATATAAAATTTCAACAAAATCTGTTCATTGGTATTTGAGTTATCAAAGATTACGTTTTTTACGAAAAATTGCCGCCATTTTGAAATTAAGCGGCCATCTAGAAAATGTTTTGTCGAACATAGCTACTGTGTCCCTAAGCATCATCAAATAAAATTTGAACCAAATCCGTTCACTGGTATTTGAGTTATCAAAGATTACATATTTTTACGAAAAATGGCCGCCATTTTGAAATTAAGCGGCCATCTTGAAAATCTCTTTTTGTGCGAAACTCCTTTGTCCCTAGGCATCAGCATATAAAATTTGAACCAAATCTGTCAACTTGTATTTGAGTTATCAACGATTACATTTTTTACGAAAAATGGCGGCCATTTTGAATTGAGCGGCCATATTGAAAATTCCTTCTCGAGCAGAGGTCCTACACTCATAAGGCATAAGCCTATAAAATTTGAATCAAATCCGTGAAACGGTATTTGAGTTATCGCCCGGACAAACAGACGGACGGACGGACAGACGGACGAACGGACGGACGGCTTTCCTATATCCCCCACGAACTTCGTTCGGTGGGATAAAAAGTGTCAAAGATTTATTTTAAGAGTGTCAAATAGGGTAGTTTATAGTAAAGGGACTGTTAGCTGTTTTGAACTTTCTTCTCAGTCAAGGAGAGAACTATTCCTGTTGAGCTTCATATGTCACAGGGGACTGTTCACCCTGTCGGAATTTATTGTATGTTTGTTTGTGATTACCTTGTTCAGTTGAGCTTTGATTCCACTTTCTGTCTCATCTATCTTCTCTCGAAGTTCTGAAAAAAAGTTTCAAAATACATCAGATAGAGACATCTTTTAAACAAACAAAGCTATGCAATAATCTTTTACTTATACATATCTTTAAAGATACAATATATTAAGATTTTGCAGACCTTTTTGAATGTATGATTTCAATAAAAAGAAATAAATCAAGCACTGAATACCCAACACTAATCAGTTCGAGAAAAAAAACTGATATTTAATCTATCAAAGATGACATTTTTTAAAGATAGTGTCAACCAATATTTGAGTTATCTCCCTGACAGACGAAAATATGAATGGATGTATGGATGGCTTCTCAAATACATAAAATTATCATTCAAGGAATTAATGTTACTTCATTACTTCATTTTCCAAGTGTACTTTAAGGTTTAATTTATCTAAATATAAAAAATGAAGATAAATTCAGCATTTAAATTCAAAAAGATGTATCAAATAATTTCTCAAGTAATGGTATATTATAAACTTTATACAGTTTTTGAAAAATTTTGCCCATAGCATGTGCAGTATGAAAAAGCTTTTTTTCAATTAAACATTGACATTATTCTGTAAAATACCCTTCTGTTATATTTATATTTGTTTCTTTTATATTTGACCTGATACCTCAAATTTTATCAAACTTGGATTGTTGTGGACACAAAGGCATGATTGACACACTGGCCTTTACTGCCACTTTAAGATGAATTGCACATTTATAATTGTACTGTATCTTCTAATCATCAATGTTTTTATGAAAGATGTAGACAAAGGGGAAATTGTTCACGAAATGGTTTGGCTGTCCATATATGTTTAGAAACCAGTAACTTAGACATATGAAACCACTAATTCAAAATTTATTACAAGACCTGAGCATTTTTTTTATAAAATGTTCTCATATCAACTGATTTTAGACACTTTGACTCATCTGGTCATTTCCCATTTTTTGACTTGGATTCCATCCAACTTAATTACATTATATATATATTGTATATATTTTTTTTCTATTATTCAAGTACATTCACACTCCTCGGGTCAAGTACATGTACAAACAAAAATTATAACAATTATAAAGGAAGGAAAAAGAAGACATTTACATGTAAAAAAAACTACATAACTATTAGTATTACTTTTAATGATGATGATGCATTGGTGCACTAGAGATATAGCTATTGGTACTGGATGTAAATATATATTTTGCTACATTTATACAGTTTTGATCTGTACCAGATATCAAATAAATAAACAGATTTTCTTGCACTGGTATTTTCATTTTAGACAATATTATACTTCTTTGTTTATTATATTTCGTACAGTGAAGGAGAAAGTGTTCTTCATTTTCTATAATATTGCATGTTTCACATTTTTTCTCCTCCAGAGGTGTCGCTTTTGGTCTTGTGTAGTGACCGAGTTCAATTTATATTATAACATCATGGGGTTTATAGAGATATTTCTTTACCTGTTAAGTTTTCATCAAAGTCCGGTCTGATGAGAAATTCATGTTTTTCAACTTGCGTCATATCCAATGTACTTTCAACCATGTCCTGAAACTTCTGAAAGTCCATCAAAAGTTCCTGAAAATATAAATTACCAGAATATTATATGTTGTATTATATTATATTATATAGTACAATTGTATTATATTTTATTATATTATAGTCAGCATGATGCCTTTTTTATTACAATAACTAATGAAATGGATATTTTCACAAAAATCGCCAGTATGTATTTTCCTAAACATACTTTTCAACTTTCTTAGTGAAAGTGTGAGACTACAACTGATTATATGAGTTAATGTTTTGTTTGAAAACAAGACCAATCTCTTCAAAAGTCGCAAGCCCATTTTATAACTCTTCCATACATGTTCTGGTTTCATGAAAGAAAATAACAGTTCTGTAAAATATATGTTCCTATTGTACAGTTTTCTCTGGGTTGATCTTAAGATACTTCTGAGTTCCCACATATTTGTACCTTAGCAGGATTGGTGAAGATCTCCATTAGCAAAGGTTGATGTGGTCCAGTGTGTTGTTCCAGTTGCTCCAGAAGAACTGGCATTTTCCCTATGGCCTGGTAGACCCTGAAGCAGTCCTAAGTAACAATAAAAGTACAGGGTGTCCAATAAATAAGGTGAAAGATATTGTAACTTCCTTAATATTGCACCAATCTTAATGAAATTTTCAGAGTTTGTATCCCAAACCTTTTTACCTTTATTCTTTGAATTTAAAGCGTCTTCACCTCATCAACTATATAACACAAATCTGTTCTAAACTCTACCTGTAAGTTAGCTTTCTTTCTCTGAAATTTTTTCGCCAGTCTTTGAAAGTCTGGAATTCTTCGGAGCTGGTCTTCAAGTAGGGTTTGCCTTAATTCAGTATCTTCTATGAAAGTTTCTACGATATTCAATCTTTCTTCTGAAAAATAAAAGTTGAAAGATGCTTTTACATAATATATTACAGGTGAAATGTCAATGAATGATACCAAATTTGTCTACCAGGGTTTGAGTTATTGGACAGACAGATGTACAGACGGATGGATTTAAGGACGAATTGATAGACAGTTTCTCTATACAACTTAATTCTGTGGAAAAATAAAGCACAAAATGTTATGTAAGTGATAGAACACAATCAAATGCTAACAATATAATGAAGTGTACCATGAAGCCCAATGGACCCAAAGCATAATATCAGCAACCTATAATATACAATTGGTATCAACCAATATTGCACAATCAAATACAATATTTACATGTATGTTGGATGTTTCAAAAGGCTCATAACATCTTGACATGAACTGAAGCACTTTCATATTGGCCTAGACATGTAAATGTCAACGAGTCTGAGACTAAGAACTATTGCAAATAAAGATAATGATTATGTTTCCAATATTGTATATCACTGAAAGGTGAATTTAGTGAATTCTTATATTCAATGACTACAATATGCTTCTAAATCATATCAAATTCATCAACTCTAAATACTTGCATAGCAGTAACTCTAAATACTTGCATAGTAGGAAATCTAAATACTTGCATAGTAGGAAATCTAAATACTTGCATAGTAGGAACTCTAAATACTTGCATAATAGTAACTCTAAATACTTGCATAGTAGGAAATCTAAATACTTGCATAGTAGGAAATCTAAATACTTGCATAGTAGGAAATCTAAATACTTGCATAGTAGGAAATCTAAATACTTGCATAGTAGTAACTCTAAATACTTGCATAGTAGTAACTCTAAATACTTGCATAGTAGGAAATCTAAATACTTGCATACTAGTAACTCTAAATACTTGCATAGCAGTAACTCTTAATACTTGCATAGTAGTAACTCTAAATACTTGCATAATAGTAACTCTAAATACTTGCATAGTAGGAAATCTAAATACTTGCATAGTAGGAAATCTAAATACTTGCATAGTAGTAACTCTAAATACTTGCATAGTAGTCATGGGGATTGAACCAAATAACATGACATGCAAATGCAATGTGACAATAACAATTAAATTTTGTCTCGTTCTCCTCAAAAAAAATTATGTAGCTTTTGTCTGTATATCGCAATTGTAAACATACACATTAAACAGCTAGATACAACATGTTCATAAAGTCAAGTGGGTCACTTATAATTTTGCATAAACATGGCAATGCTAAGAGGGATATCTACTTTACTAAGAAGGAAAATCCCTCCTCCTGTCATATTAAATACATTAATTCGGAAACAAAAATATTCTGAAACTGTGGAAACTGTTCATAGATGTCAAAATGAAGAAATCATCTTTTCTATGGTATGTATGCTTAACATTTTGAAACTTGCAATAAAATTGTGTAACTTTGTCAATTATTAAAAATCTATTTCCTAGCCCAAAACATGAGTTGTGAGCCCCACAAAAAGAGTTCTGGGTAATAGTTCATTATTCTTGTAAAAATAACATTTGAGATGTGAATTATAGTTTTTTAATGGCGTTTTTAAGATATTTAATTTATACATGTATTTTTTTGTAGAATTGGGAAGACATTGCCCCAATAAGACATGCAATGAACATCGAAAGTGGAGACAGACTCTTCACAATAGCATCATGCGGTGCCAATGCTATGACCCTTCTACTCGATGATCCTGCTGAAGTTGTGGCCCTTGATTTATCAATTCCACAGCTACATTTGGCAAAGTTACAAGCAGCTTGCATTAAACATCTGTCACACCAAGAATTCATTGACTTCACTGGAGTCGACAGGGAGAATGTAAAACCTGAAGAGCGGGTCAGAATATACAGAGCCATTAAAGGGTCTCTTGAGCTGCCAACCCAGGAATATTGGGATTCTCGTATGGAAGCTGTTGAATTCGGTGTTATGCACTGTGGTGACTTTGATATCAATATTCGTACTGCAGCCGAGGATTTTTTCTTTGTTGCTCTGGACCAATCAGACATCAAGAGGTTCCTATCCATGGGAGATGATATGAAGGAGCAGTCTGATTTTTTTGAGAACGTAATGAACACAAAATATTTCCGAAGGGCAGTGAAAAGGTTAATTCAACGTTTACTGTCTGATTTCAACTTATCCATCTTTCCTGACGTGGACTATCCCAAGTTCTATGGGAGGAGAATGGAAGAGATTTGCAAGACCATCCCAGCGAAAAGAAACCACTGCATAGAGTACATTCTCACTGGAGGCTACTCGGGGAAATACAACTTACGAGATTATCAACTAAAAGAGAATTTCCCAATTCTGAAAGAGAGGATTGATCGTTTGGAATGGATACAAGGTGAACTCACTGATTGGCTCAGAAAATACCCGTTGTCTAAGCAACCAATGTTTGATTGTGTATGTGTCTCGAATGTAACAGATTGGTTAACGATTGAAAATCATAACTTGGCTATTCGATCAGCCGGGAAAATCTGCAAACAGGGAGGGCGGATTGTCTTCTGGAATGGTCAAGGCATGGCTAAGTATTGGCCTAGTGAGATGGTCGATACTGTCCTCAAGGTGGAGCATGAGATAGAAGCAGAATGTGTTAAATATGATAGGATGATATTTTGGGAACCACTTAGAGTGGCAACTGTCTTATAAGAAATATTGAACTCTAAGAATAGTGTGGTATACTCAATTTGGGAATTACTATAATTTTATAAGAAACAACTCAACTGTTATGCATTGTAAGGCTATTAAGATAATGTTACCTATTCTATTGAGGTCCATTAGGGGTTGTTTCACCCACTGAGCTAGCAATCTCTGGCCCTGTGCTGTACGACATTTGTTCAGCAAATCAAGAACACTTTGGTTCCTGTTCAGAACTCCTAGAAGTAGATATAATGGATAATATTACCATTTCATACCATAACGCACTGTACCATACCATGCAATATAAAATACTATACTGTTAACATGAAAACAAAACAAGAAATATATTAACATTACTATTGGTTTGAATGACTTTTCTTGCACTGATTTTGTTATCTTGCCAGTGGACAGCTAGACCTCAAGGAAATTTGATTTTTTAACTTCTTAAAATGGACCCAATTTAAAAGCAAAAATATTCAATCATTGAATTTTTTGAGAAAATGGGCCCTAATTTTTTGAAAATGGGCCTTAATTTTCTGAAACTCACCCAAATTTTCTTAAATTCCCAAAATATTTCAATTACTGGCCCTGATCCTTATCGGAGGTGATTAACCAACCTTCTCATTGTACATTCTCTAGCAGAAAATTGTTTCAAAGTTTGTTTAAAACCAATACTATACTATAAATACTACAAATACTATATGCAAAGCATACCTTCACTTTGATCTGGTAATAGATTCAATGCTCTCACAGCAGCTGGATCCAGTTTCAAATACTGTCCTAAATCAAATGTTGCCAGTGTGTACTGATTGAAGTTTCCTTCATCGCTAAGCAGTTCTAGATATTTGATCAATGCAGCTATGGTTGCCATGGCAACATTTTTATCCATTTGAGGCAGTGCTGCACTATTCGGTTGTTCATCCTTGCGGAACTTTATGAGTCGGTTTAAATCTTGCACATTGTCTTTATTCGTAAACTCACCTGAAATATGAGAGAAATACCTTTCATTTCCTAGAATTAACCTAAACAGATTTTATTTGGTGATATACCATTGTTTTAAATTGAGGCTCATTATTTCATTTCTTAACATACTTTTCTTTCTCTCTGTGACCAGTACTCCACTTCTGTTTAAAACATGGTTCAGTTTCACCATCTCTGGTGTAGCTTCTCCTGTAGGGACCAAGCACTCCTTGGGACCTAGCTGTACTATCAAGCCCTATAAACAATACAAAATACATGTACACATTTAAGTTGTGTCATGACTTTCAGATGACTTTCTGGATATGAGCAACATCAAGGAATTATCATTTACTAATGAGTGCTAGAGGTAGTATTTTGCAACATGTAAATGAAAACAGCTTCAACTAAAATAAACACAACTAGAATATTGTCAAGAATTTCAGAAAGTGTTGCTTATTGGGCATTACACATGATATAGAAGTACAATAAACCCTTTTGAAAACATTGTTTTATACAGATGGCATTTTTAGTACCTCATATTTTACAGTTTTTATTTTACCTCTAAATTGGAGAATTGATCATTGTCAGGGAATTCACAAACAAACATCTTTCTTAAAGTAGCATCAGCATAGCCCACTCCAACAACCTGGAAATTGCAAATTAGGGTGAACTTTTAGATGTTTCACATCAAGGAAATTGGGACATTTTGACATGACTTGCTTTATACAGTATGAGAATGTAAAAACTTATCTAAATCTAAGATTCTTTTGTTGCCATGGTAACCAAAAATCTGACTTCTCACCCTATGTTCCCAACTTCTCACCTTGTGTTCCCAAGTATTCACCCAATGTTCCAAACTACTCACTGTGTGTTCTCAACTACTCACCCTGAATTCCCAGCAACTCACCCTCTGTTCCCAACTATTCACCCAATGCTCCAAACTACTAACTCTGTGTTCCCACCTACTTACCCTGCGTTCCCAAATACTCACCCTGAATTCCCAAATTCTCACCCTGAATTCCCACATATTCACCCTGAATTCCCAACTACTCACCCTGAATTTCCAACTACTTACCCTGTGCTCCCAACTACTCACCCTAAATTCCCAAATACTCACTCTGTGTTTTCAACTACTCACCCTGTATTTCCAACTACTCACCCTATATTCCCAACTACTCACCACATGTTCCCAACTATTCACCAAGTCCATTCCCAATAAAACACCCTATGTTCCCAATTAACTACTCAAGTGTTCCAAATTACTCTATTTGTGTTCCCAACTACTCACCAAGTGTTCCAAACTACTCACCCTATGAGAATCCTCCATTGCCAACTTTATTGCCATAACTCCTACAGAGGCTGACATGTCATTAGATCCAAACAAAACATCTTCAAACTGAGTCAGGTTTCCTGGTGAACCCTAAATTATAATATAATATAACTACATGTACTAACATGCATTTATTCACTAACAATTTGCAATGTGGGAATCATAAGTTCTAGTACTTAATCTATCGAATATAATTTCTGCCAACTGATAAATATGGCAGTTAACACCCTATGCAGACAGAGCCTGTGGGAAATATTGGGTGCGGCGCAAATGAGCGGAGGGTGCGGAGCTAACGGTCATTTTTGAATTTAAAATTGGGATATTTCTGAAACTAAGCCGTTTTGGGACTTCAAATATACCAAGATATGTGTATTTGACACCAAATATCAATAAAATTGTGAAAATAGTAGTGCAATTCATTTTATAGCGACGCATTATGCCTTAAACATTTCCCAGACCTATATATTTTGAGACTATCCTTTTAATACTGCGTCCCCAGCATTCATAAAAAATGGTGTTCAAGATACACTACCCATGCAAATTATTTTTGCATCTTGGAAGCCAGGCAGTATCTGTGTGATTTTATAAAAATTTGGAAATGTTCTTCAGATATGAGCCCCCTCTAAATATTGGGTGCGGAGGTACGTTTATGGAGCTCCTCCGCACCCAATATTTAGAGGGGGCTCATATCTGAAGAACATTTCCGAATTTTTATAAAATCACACAGATACTGCCTGGCTTCCAAGATGCAAAAATAATTTGTATAGATAGTGTACCTTGAACACCATTTTTTATGAATGCTGGGGACTCAGTATTAAAAGGATAATTTCAAAATATATAGGTCTGGGAAAGGTTTAAGGCACACTGCGTCGCTATAGAATGAATTGCGCTACTATTTTCACAATTGTATTGATATTTGGTGTCAAATACACATATCTTGGTATATTTGAAGTCCCAAAACGGCTTAGTTTCAGAAATATCCCAAATTTAAATTCAAAAATGACCGTTAGCTCCGCACCCTCAGCTCATTTGCTCCGCACCCAATATTTCCCACAGGCTCTGTCTGCATAGGGTGGTTAATGTTTTTGCTTTTAATGAGGTTAATCAAGGGCCAACAAAAAAAACTATTTCAGTGCCTCAATACTTCTGACATCAGATATATTTCAACCACGCGAAGTGGAATTTTCTTCAATAGATAACCCAAAAGTACCTTATATGCCAGAGTCCATTCTGTTGTTTTCCCTGTTCCCTTGCTGCCATATACCTCAACTCTGTACTGCTGAACTAAGAGGAGATCTTTCACTGTTGCCTCAAAGTTCTGCTTACTCAGGGTAACTGTTTCAAGCTTAGAGGCACCTAGTCAAAAAGATATACTGGTACACTCCCCACAAAAAGATTGGCAACCTTGACTTTGTAATAGATGGTGCATTAAATCCTGTTAATCTTTAAATTTGTTCCTCAATTACAAAATGTCAGAAAAGCATATTTTCAATAAATTTTGAAAATTTCTAAAACATATTCAGGCTTTAATGGGGGGGGGGAGTTGCAGTTATAGTGATTCTACTTTTGGAAGGGAGTGTTCATTGATTATTCTTAATCATCATAAAACTACAAAAGTATACAGTTAAATTACAATGGTATCAAAAATTTTAGTGTTGTCTGCAGGGGTGCAATAGAAAGATTTTATCTTTAGAGGATAAAAGGATTTATTCCATAATACTACTGTTTTCCCAGGGAAATATGAAGGAATAAAAATCGTATTGAATCGTATTACATGAAAAAATCGTATTGTCCCCGGGAAGAAAATCGTATTGGAGCGTATTACATGAAAAAATCGTATTGTCCCCGGGAAAAAAATCGTATTGGAAAATATTAACCTATTTTTGGTTTTCCTGTTATTTTTAACCTTAGCTAATTGATAAAAGCATTTTCAAAATGTGACATTTTAGAGGAATGTATTATGGAATAAATAGGTTATTTCTGGTCGGGGTTGAATATGGGTTTCATTCCTCGGAAAATATGATATTGACCTTGGGAAATATGATATTGACACTCGGTCGCTGCGCTCCCTCGGTCAATATCATATCACCCTTCGGTCAATATCATATTGTCCCTCGGAATAAAACCCATATTCAATCCCTCCCAGTAAATAACCTATATATCTTAGTGTTATCATTAGGGGGATAATATGGGGATATATTGATGTTATCTTAAAATGGATAACAGAAGGACATATTGGTGTTATCTTTAAAGGGATAAATAGAGGATATCCTATGATTTATGAGTGATATGATTTTTATCCACGAATGGATATGATATCTGCATGAGCGAGCGTAGCGAGAGAGTGCAGATATCAATATCCATGAGTGGATTAAAATCATATCACGAGTAAATCATAGGATGTTCTTTTTATTCCATAGTTAAAGTCATCATCAGAATTGTCGGAAATTAAGTCATTTAATTCGAATTTTCCAAACGATCCGGCGATGTTGACACTTAGCCTCGTTTTGAGTCTGAAGTAGCAAAAATCCATTAACCATCGCATACGACGTCGTATGTCATGGCTAAAAAACCGTATGCTATGGTTAAGTGAAAATTTGTCAAAAATATCATATTTTACCACTGATTACAAAAATACCGTTTTTATTTTCACATGTTATCCAATGAATATCATGCTAACTATGGAATAACAGGATATATTAATGTTATCATCGTCAATGGGATGTCTACCTGTGCCAATATACTTGATGACATTGTTGTTCTTGAAGACCTCCTTAGCAGTGTAGTTGGCATCTTCCCCATGAGCACTGTAGTAATCCTAGAAAAAAGAACAAGAACAACACATATACAAGCAATCAATCATAAACATACATGGTATATACCAAATAGAATAGACAGTATGATACCACAGCTGAGAAGGTAAATAAATACAATCATCTTTTTAATCATTTGATTGTTTATTAGCCAATGAGTAAGAGATATTCAAATGACATAATAATATTAACAGGCCTAGTTACAAATTTGCTTTCTGCTGTGCTCATATTTATGTTTATGAAATGATGAAAGGTGCACAAAAAATTGTGCACCCCTTTTTATGTATATATTCATATCACTTTATACATGTATGTGGAAGAAAAGACTGAAACTTAAACTTACTGTTCTGTCAAAGAACCGGATTGTTGTACTAGGTTTCTGAAAATAGCATAAAATTGTTAACATGACTATGATTGCAATAAAGACATTGGAAAACAACATAGTATCTTAACACCCCAGAATCTTAACACCCCCCCCCCCCCAGCCCCTCCCCAATTATTTGATGGAGAGCATACCATCATCTGCTTCAAATGGGCTTAATAGTCTAAACCTTTTGCAGGTTATAGATACAAAGGGTCGCTATATTACGCAAGAGATATCAATTTAAAATACTGGATTTGGAAAACATCCTGCTGACCAAGACATAGACATACTGTATACTATATACAGGGTGTCCCGAAAGTATGGGGCCCCCCTAGGCAGACATATACCAGTGTCCTCATAGTATGTGTCATATATCATTTTAAAGCTTATCCAAAGTTACATTGATTTGCCAAGTATCATGGTTTAACTCCCAAATGGGAAAAAGTTACAGTTATTTTAAAAGTTAGTGTTTTGTCAAAATAAAGTTAAAATTTTCACCACATTACGAGTCAATGAGTCCCCCCTTGGCCATGTTAACAGCAGCAATTATTTTCAAATATGACCTTAAAAGCACTTCAAATAGGGGTGCGGAATTTTATAACCCTCTTAAAACCTGTTAAGGCACTTTAGAAGAGTTTCCTTAGAGTTTCTACCCTCACCGTTTTCTTTTTCCAACTCAATACCCATCCGACCCAAAAAGAATTGCTGCTGCTAAGATGGCCCGGGAGAACACATTGACTATTGATTTGGTGTAAAATTGAACTTAATTTTGACCAAACACTAAATTTTGAAATGTCTGTAATTTTTTCACAATTGAGAGTTGAACCATGATACTTGGTGAATCAATGTAACTTTGGTTAAGCTTTAAAATGATATATGACACATACTATGACGACACTGGTATATGTCTGCCTAGGGGGGGGGCCCATACTTTCGGGACACCCTGTAGACATGGGCCATGTCTGTAGCCCCATGCTCCACCTTGGTGATTGCAATGACGCAGATAAGGTAAGTCTATGTCATCTTCCCCGGGCAATGACCTGTCGCAAAGATACCCGGGCAAAGATATCAGAACCCCAAAACTGAAATCTCAAACGTCAACAATAACATGAAACATGCAATTGCAAATCAAGATCTCAAAATTTTGAAAAATCCTACCTCGGGCAATCGCTTGTAAAAGCTTAGAAATACGGCTTCTTGTGTGCTATCTGAAACAATATACAAAGATTAGGGACTCATGCATATGCAAAAAGCTTTATTTCTTCCAAAATGTTTCAGATCTCATCAGAATCGTGAAAATACCAACCGAGCTGAAGTTCTTGTTGTTTTGGTTGGAGCGCCATCTTGCATTTCGAACCCACGTGTTTTCGCGGGAAAATGACGTAGAAGGGAAATCCCCTAAAAATGTAAACAAACTTACTTCCGGGTTTCCTCAAATATGTCAATAATTAATCTGCTGTTTGCGAATTGTTTCATCATCCAATGGTTTTTCATAATATATGAATTCAATTATTTTGACATATTCTCGAATAATCGAACCAATGAGAAAAACCCACGCTGATTGGCCTTATCAGCAAGGTCTAGAACATTCGCTGAGGAATCGTATATGAAGGAAATCACAACACGAATCATCGTTCCCATCGCATCATGTTCATTTGTGTTATGTTTTCAAACACTACACAAATATATATACACGCATCCTAATAAAGGACGAATGGACATAACAGCTAACAGCCATGGCGTGTAGTCTCAACATCCAGCAAGTAGATGCCAGCCGATGACACTAACCCCCGGGGCTTTCTAGTTCTGGGGGTTAAGCACGGTCAGATCAAGATGCCAGACTGGATCGGCACGGACCAGGCTTGAATGGGGACATGGGATCCAAACAACTACGCAATCATGGCGGTTGCCAATGCTAGTGGTCGGTGAACATGGACCTATTTCAAGCCACCAGTGTCACGAAATAACGGGGCTTGTATTGTTTCATATGACAACCTGAATTTCGTGATAATGGAAAATTAATATCAACGATAACGTGCACATCATGATGGTTGGCATTTGAGTAGCCAGGTCTCCCAAACGGTACAGTACAAAATGTATGTTTTAATTCATACTTAAACATGTTAGCGTTGACTTCAAAAATGTCTGTTTCACTTTCAAATGTTTGTCATTCACTGCATTCGAATCCCGTTTAAACAAGTATTTTTGAGATAATCAGGAGGTTTTACTGAGATATGTTAACGATTGCATGAAAAGATGCATTCAATGCAATGCACTGGCGGATCCATCGGGGGCTCATTTTGGGCCCTAAATATTTGGTAGGCCCGCCATTTTAGGCCAAGTTGTCAAAAAATGGCCAAATTTCGGGACCCAAATTTTTTTCCCAGATTTCAAATGTAGAGTACATGTAGATTACCATTTGTTTTTTCATACGCTCCACTCCATGTTTGCCGATTTAAAAAACTTGTTTTTATGTTATTTCATAAAAACTCCCGATTGCCAAACTAATGGAGGGTAGTGTACAATGTGAAATTATAGTGCTTATTAGAGTTTGTAGGAAATTGTAAAATGTCCACCTACCATCTAATAATATAATATTATTCGTAATAACACACTTCAATAGATGTCTCTCGTGACATTTTTTATCAAAAATGGGGATACCTGTAGTATATTTATCATAGGATTTAATCCCGGTGTCAACGTATTTATAGTCCGCCAGTAAATATAGTCCGGGGTTATATTGTATACCAATACAGAAAATATGGTCCAGTTAAGACCATACACCCTAGGACACCAGGTCCTCCCCTGGTGTCCTAGGGTGTATGTTCCTACGGACCATATATTCAGGAAGACTATACAGGGTGGGCCAAAAAACCCACCCCCCTAGCCATTACTACTGATAAATATTTATTTTTTAACATGTACACCAGCAATGATATATCATTTTAAAGATAATTTAATTTGCAACAAAATGATATATACTTGCACCATTTTCAACAACCCCATACAGAAATATAACCAATTATGTGACATGGGGGTCAAAAAACACCTTTTCAATTTTTATCGATTTTGCGAACAAAAGCCTATTTCTACCAAATTTTACTGTTCAATTAAAAATTGCAACATTGTCATGAGTCTTACATAATTGGATATTATATATTGTTTTCATTCAGTTTTTGAACCATGCATGCTCAATAAACATGTGTATGCTTATAAAACAAATTGATTTCTTCTTCAGTCTGTCCAAATATGGCTCAATAGACCCACCCTGGGCCCATTCTCTGATCAGAGTATTCTCTTAAGACGCGGAAGCCATTGGTTGATGACATAATTGATGGATGTATGCGGAAGTACCATTCAACTGCTAGTTATTCTTTCTTTTGGTTCCTCTACATCCCTGATAAGCTGGGTATCTTTAAATACCAAATGTTCTAGATGTCCCCAGGTATGGTAATCAACATTATTGTCATCTGGACTGTCAGTAAGCCATTTGTCCGGGCTAGAGATGGTGTCATTTCGAATCTCCAAAAACTCCAGGGTAGCTTTGGACCTGTGTGATGAAGCACTTTCCCATCAGAAAATGATTTTTTTCACATGTTTTTTATATCCTTGAGGAGTCCTTTTTAACACCTCATGTCATTAACATTCAGAGTATATTTTTGCTCCTGGTTCAACAAAAAAGGGCCTGTACAGTCTTTCTTTTTTGGGAAACACCGAGTAGACACCACTACCCTTTCAGAAAAAAGTCATCTCGATTTGAGTAGCCTTTTATTGCAAATGTCCCTATTCTTGCTTACTGATATATAGAGTCTATCCTGTTGATTACATGTATAGTACTTGTGGCATTTAGAACAGTTGATCCATGAAGATCACTAGCCTATCAGGGATGTAGACAGACTGAAAAAAATGAATAATTACGAGTTCGATGGTACTTCCGCAGAGATTCATCAATTATACCAATGGCTTTCGCGTCTTTAAAGAATAATCCGATCAGATGGTGGGCCCGGGGGAGGGTCTATTGAGCCATATTTGGACAGACTGAAGAAGAAATTAATTTGTTTTATAAGCATACACATGTTTATTGAGCACGAATGGTTCAAAAACTGAATGAAAATAATATATAATATCCAATTATGAAAGACTCATGACAATGTTGCAATTTCTAACTGAACAGTAAAATTTGGTAGAAATAGGCTATTGTTCGCAAAATCGATGAAAATTGAAAAGGTGTTTTTTGACCCCCATGTCACATAAATGGTTATATCTCGAGCCAGGGTTGTTGAAAATTGTTCTATTATATATCATTTTGTTTCAAATTAACTTATCTTTAAAATGATATATCATTGTTGGTGTACATGTCAGAAAATAAATATTTATCAGGAGTAATGGCTAGGGGGGTGGTTTTTTTTGGCCCACCCTGTATTTACGTAAATATAGTCTTCCTGAATATATGGTCCGTATACTCTGACACTCTTAACGCCCTTACTGGCCCTGATTGTGTATAAGATAATAAGGGAAAGAGGTCACCATATAAATCAATGGAGAGTAGGACCATAATTTGGTAGGACCTCATACCCTTTTACACCTGCTGGGGTGTAATATAATCTATCCACCTTTTTTAAAGCCGTGTTCAAATTGGTCAGGGTAGATTACGTGAACAGTATGTTTTGGTCAAAGTGGACGACGTTAAACGTGTATGTTTTCAATGTATCTGTCAACTTGGATGACTTAAAACACGTATGTTGTCTGCGTTTTGGTCAAAGTGAACGACGTTAAACGTGTGTGTTTTCAATGTATTGGTCAACTTGGATAACGCAAAACACGTATGTTGTCTGCGTTTTGGTCAAAGTGGGTGACGTTTAACGTGTATGTTTTCAATGTATCGGTCAACTTGGATGACGTAAAACACGTATGTTGTCTGCGTTTTGGTCAAAGTGGACGACGTTAAACGTGTATGTTTTCAATGTATCTGTCAACTTGGATAACGTAAAACACGTATGTTGTCTGCGTTTTGGTCAAAGTATACATGTTGTATGTCCTAAAAACGTAAATCACGAAATAATGCATTTTATCGGTAAGATGAGCAAGAGGTGTCATCGGTGTATTGGTTATAATGATACCTCGAGCGCAGAGTCTAAGTGTAAACAAAAAGCTCTCTTTTCAGAAGCGAAATGAGTACTAATATGAATGGCGAATAACACAACTAATATAAATTCTTTTTAGTGATAATAATTTATTTATAAAAAATACACTATTTATTCTTTATTATCAGTGCCACATAAAAGTTCGGACGGAACATCTTCTAACACCATTTGAAAAATTAATAATTCATTTGAGATCCATTTGATTAATTTATTTTTTATCATCCGTAGCACAAACAGGTTCTGACGGAACATACTCTTTAACATCATTTGAAATATTAAACCTTACTTTTGTTGGTTTAGAATTTGTACGTGTTTTAGTTCTTGTTTGGCTCCAACTTCCAACTGACCAAGCCATATTGGCAGCTGAAGGTGTCACTTTAATTGAACCGTTACGTAAGCATGGAGTAGCGGGCAGTGTTGGTACCCCCGCTTCTCCACCTACATTGACGGCTGAATAATCACTTAACGACAGTCCATTGATTTTGAGTCTGGTGTTAGGATCTCGTGAATGACTGAATTGTTGCCTTGCGGATTCAAAATCAGGTTCCGCTAAGTCCCCTTGATGTCCATTGATATCATCAGTATTATGATAGTTTGTTATATCGTTGGTTATTGTTATGGTATTTCTGGACTTTCGTTGATTTGGACTAGTAGTAACATTATTATGTTTTGCAATGGCCATCCTCCGTTGCATAATATTTTTGGACGCAAGGGATTCATGGACGGGCGATTTCGCTGTCTTTTCCTGAGTTTGGAATTTCGATACAATAGGGAATTTTGAAACACTTATAAACGTGTTTTGTTTCTCTAACTTGTTTCTGTTTTGTTGTCTCGGTGAAGAAGTATCCATACTTTGTCTGTTGGCGTATTTTAAAATATCTGCATACGATGTTTCAATATTATCTTCTTTCACATCAAAAGAGGGCGCTGGATTTGATACCTTTCTCCATCGTCTGCTGTCCATTGAAGCTGATCTACACTCGCCAAGTGGTCGTAACAGGTGTGAACTGTTAGTCTTCATAGAGTTATTATTATACTGCATACCTCTAAGATCGTTGGATTGATATAATCTAGTATCCCAAGACACAGAGTTTACTCTCTTTATTTTATTTGACTCTGGTGGTGACACGGTCGACATAACAGTCGATGGTCTTTGTGGTAATGTTTTACAGTCCCATGCCCAGGAACTTGATGACGTTTCACGTCGACGTATCGCTTCCATGACGTTGCTTTTATAAGTACCATTGGGCCTCCGAATAGTTAGTTTGAAGCCTCCCAATCTTGAACTGTCTACTGGTAAGTCCTTTTCAAGTACCCCTACAGCTGCAGTCATCGCATGGGCCTCGGTGACATACTTTTTAAGAATGTTACTTTTTGAGATGCTAAACTAAACCTGTCTTTAACCAAGGCCAGGTATCCTCAGATCATTGCCATGCATATTTTTAGCAAAATCTGATCAATCATGTTTAGGTTTGTGTTATATTGTATGAAAACAGACCTTACTCTCTTGGTCCTCAAGGTCCTTATCATTCAAAACCCGTGTGTCGCTATGCAGTCTCAGGGTCTCTAACGAATGTAATTGTTAGTCATCCGTTTGCCATCTGCTTCTAAGTGTCGCTCTTCTAAGAAATCGGTTGTCAGTGTCGTTATTTCATTTGGCAAGTCACTTATAGGATCTCTGGCTTTCTTCAGAATTATTGTTGGTGATAGAAGCTTTATAAGATGTAACTTTATTTCACTTTTTAGTTGTTGCGTATCCTCCAGAATGGCGCTTTAATCTAATCATTTTTTCATCTTGTACTGAATGAATTGGTTCCTTCTTAATTTGGATTATTGCTGATTTTGTTTCATTACATGTACTTTTCCTTGATGTCTATTCACGTCGCTACAGTCCGCTCCATGGTTGTTTGTCCGTGTTAGATCAATTTTCGATTATGATTCGCCTCGTTATGTTAGAATGTCGATTTAATATTCAATCGTCGATTCTGGATATCGTATTGCTTGCTCTTGAAAGGTTCTGTATACAACGCAAACATTGCTGTGCTTTTGTATAAAATGTAAGTTTGCTTATGCCATTCGTGGCCATTCGTCATTCTTTGGACTTTGGGTTAATAAAACATTTATCTTTTTGAAGTATTTATCCTCGACTCTGTCCTTTTGTGATTGACAGACTCCCAAGTTTAAGCCAGTGTCTGAATCGATCGAGATTTACTTTGGCGATATCGCTCAAATGTTTATTTGCCAAGGTTGACTTATTGTCTCTGAGTCAACTCTCTCGTAACGTGCTTAGAAACCAAATTTATGAACTGCTTAACCGTTGTAGAAAATACCTCAAGTTAAACACAATATTTTGTACTTTAATCCAGTAAATATAGCAGTAGCTTTCAGAGTAACCGATCTATAGGCTTGTACCTTGACAGACCTCTGTAAAGATTCATCATGTTGCGTAGATTGTATTAATCCAATCAATTTAATTAATAAACTGATTATATCACAGGGTGGCCTATACTAATTAATTGTTGCATTCTTTGTTCGTTCCCACGGCAGTCACGCTATTGTGAATCTATCTATATAATTGTATCACAACAATTTTCTGTAAAGGAATTTATTGGTCGATCTATTGTCCGTCGCTCCCTTGATTCTTTTCATCATAGGAATCGAATTGATTCTCTGAAGATTTTTTCATATTTTTCTAATTGATCCAAATAATGACGGAGGGGGCAATGGACTAGAGGGTTTATATATATCTTTTTATTTCAAGTAGATTATAGTATTCTCTTGTTATGGGGAATACTGTTTGTTTTGAAATATTGGTTCCAAAATCAGGCTTCAATTGTTCATTCGGTACGGAATTTACTTATCGCAGTCGACTCGTTTAACTTAAGGAATAATACGTACATCAAGGAGTCCCATGAAATGATGTCATATGTCCCAGGTAATTAATCTCCCATTTCCTCTGATTTATGCACTGATTTGATATCATCTATTCTCCTCAATATAAATTTAAACCCTGTGATTTAAACTCAATATGGGTGGAGGGTTACGTTATGTATAGACAATTTTCAGCGTGGGTCCATGGATTCTGACACATTAAGACAACTGTATGGTGTGTCGGAAACAATTTTTACCACAGAGCATATATTCATGGATAGCTCAAAAGCATTTGCCTACACTGTTATTTCACTTGTTAATTGAGTTTTTATCCGAACATTGTCTCCAATGGCGATTTGTTTTAGCATCTACGATACCACAATTAACCAACATCAATATATGTATGAGCAGGGGGTGTTTACTTCCATTAGTAAAATTGAGGTTCATCTTCGATTAGTCGATGTACGTTAAACACCAGTGGCAAGGTTGTGTATTGTTCTATCTCAAAGGTGATAAGTGTTGATTTAAAACTATCTTGTCTCTTTGGGATATCCGCTACACTCACTGTTCCACAACTGGATGACTCTAACTGCAGTTAGCTTCATTCAAGATGGTTGCCGAGATTCTTTCGTTTTCGATAAACCTCCGATTTCAGCTAAACTAAGTTGAATCTTGATTCCAAAAGTTTCGCCATGCAAATTAATAAAACTATGATTGTATTCAACCACAAATGAATGCTCTAACACCCATAATATTAGAGAATTTTAAAGAAAACGACTTCACTTAGAATGACTCTAACTGAAGTTGATGATCTACGCCATCATGACGTCATCATCAACTTCAGTTAGAGTCATTCTAAGTGAAGCCGTTTTCTTTAAAATTCTCCAATATCGCGGTTGTTTGAGCATTTGTTTGTGGTTATTTACCATCGTAGCTTTATTAATTTGCATGGCGAAACATTTGGAATCCAGATTCAACTTATTTTAGCCGAAATCGGAGGTTTATCGAAAACGAAATGATCTCGGCAACCATCTTGAATGAAGCTAACTGCAGTTAGAGTCATCCAGTTGTGGAACAGTGACACTGCGCCCAGCTTAAAAGAAATACTTTACACGATCAATTGTTAAAACAACGAAGCAGCATTAGCGCTACACAGTTACGTCAAACAATTATATATAATTTAGACTAATATGAAGTTATAACGTGAACGTCTTGATTTCAATGAAATACAAAATCACATCTTCATTCTAAAATATTCATAATTCTACAAAGGTACCCACCTATTTTTGGAATGCAAGTTAAAAGTCCTTGCTAGAAGAGCTAAGGAAGTGTGTTTCCTTTCAAAACTTTCTCTTACAATGTAAGGCCAAATGGTTTGAAACTCGAGCATTGTGTCTCATGTAACAGTATTTGTGAAAGCGTTACGCTGGTTGTATCAATTTCGTAATAAGGATTTTTAATGGAATTTTAAATACCTTGTCCAAACTTTGAATTTTCGATTACAAGGTTTTTTCAATGAATCTTTGACATAAATAAGAGTTCTTAAAAGGGATCAAGGATTGTTAGTAGAAGAGTTTATATGGAACCTGCTCTTACGTAAGACAATTGACCACCGTTTCTAAATTATAGTTTAGATCGTAGACATTCGGTAATGTGTTTAGATCGTAGACATTCTAGATTGAATAAAATTTCTTCATCTGAGAGGGTAATATCAGTTATTCATTGTGGTATCCAAAAGTATCTACTTTCCCTTAGAATAATCCCCGGGGAATATTCTCACGCAAGCTTTTTGGATGAAAAGAGACTGATAACTCAGAATGAATGTCACCTATCATAATGTGGATTAAACGGCACTTTCACAAAGTAGCGAATCAGACTTCAATCACACAAAACATTGTGATCTGTTAAATATATATTTTATTTAAATCACGGGATGTCATCGCCTGATTTGGTCAATGTTAGGGAGCAGGTCGTTTTTACAATAAATTTCAATATTTTCACACAAAATATTTTTTTACTGAAAAACTGCTCATTCGCAGAGAAAATGTACTAGCACATGCAATGACAATGTCAATCACGCTTCTGTACGAAATTCGGCGGAAGTCTTTTATAATCTAATACGAAGTTACTAAAAAAGGCGCGAACGCCCTACACTCAAAATGATCGTTTTTCCATTATAACTTTTTAACGTAATTTAACGAAGGCTTCTAATTATTATCCAAGATAGTCTAAATACCGATTAAAATATTTCTTACTTCAAACAGATACGCCGTCTTTTATTCAATTTTTTAAAAAATAATAAAAAATAACTCTTGTCAATGTTAGGGAGCAGTCAATGTTAGGGAGCAAAATGATTTTATCAGAATAAAAATGTAGCAAATGGCCATTTAAAATATGTATGGCATTTATAAACTGAACAATTTTGTTTGTATGATTATTTGATACCCTTTGGGGAGGAAAGCGTTAAAATTGTAAGAAAATCATTGAAAAGGTTATTTTGCATTTTTTATTTTCAGCTAAATCCTGTTTACGTTCGTTTTAGAAATATTTAGATGCGAACCATTCCTTCTTTATTCGTTGACCTCTAACTGTAAATGAATGGATGTATCGTTATATACACTTTTTGATGATGTCATCAGTTCACAATCCTAAATTGTGGATGATAAATTATCTGAACTGATATATAGGCTTGAGAAATCTCCGACATCCTTCAGTTCTATGATTTGATATTTTCCTAGTATTAAAGTAAGAGAGTTAGTCTCGCACTTATCTTTACGACCGGGTATCACCTGATAGCTGGCACAAACGCTATGAAGGGCTCATTGCGCAGTTACATGTGTGATAGTAGATTTTTACACGTATACGTCAATACTCAGACAATGCAGTATATAACCGATCTCTGTTATATGTGTACCACTTGCTAATGATACTCTAAAGCCCGGTATACACCAATGGGACAAGTTGGGACCTCCATAGACTTAACATGGCGTGGGACCTAGTGGGACCTTTTGGGATTTTGCCCCATGAAGTCCGTGGGAATCAATGGGACTCCGTCGGATTTTGCCCCAACTTGCATATAATCTTGCCCCATCGAGTCCCATGAGGTCCCACGTTGGACTCGATGGGATTCGATGGGGCAGGATGGGGCAAAATCCCACGGAGTCCCATCTTGCCCCATCGAGAATGAACATGTTCAAAACAATAATTTATATACAAAGATGAGCTCATTTATTTAAATACAATATCATGAATAAAGGGAGATGTCATGTAATTATTGTATCTGGTTAAATTGTGTATATTGTGCTGAGCAATACTGTATGCTTGTAAGGTTTATACCAAGGGGTATAAAACAATCATACAATCTTGTCTAGTTTATAAATGACATACATGTTTGTAAAGGCCAATTACTCTGATATTCTGATAAAACCATTTCGCCCCACTGCATTGTTTGCTCCGCCACATTGATCATACTTATTTTTTATTATTTAAAAAAAATTAAAGAAAGGTGTACCTGTTTGAAGTAAGAAATATTTCAATATGTACTGAGATTATCCATGATAATAATTAACTTTCCTTCGTCAAAAATCTTTTAGAGTCCATTTTCTGAAGATAACAAAAATGCAAAACAATTTTTTTATCGATTTTGTTAAATTTTGTTAAGGCAAGGGGTTTAAAATAATCATTCAAACAATATTGTTTAGTTTATAAATGCCATACATATTTTAAATGGCCATTTGCTACATTTTTAATATTCTGATAAAATCATTTTGCTCCCTAACATTGACTGCTCCCTAACATTGACTGCTCCCTAACATTGACAAGAGTTATTTTTTATTATTTTTTAAAAAATTGAATAAAAGACGGCGTATCTGTTTGAAGTAAGAAATATTTTAATCGGTATTTAGACTATCTTGGATAATAATTAGAAGCCTTCGTTAAATTACGTTAAAAAGTTATAATGGAAAAACGATCATTTTGAGTGTAGGGCGTTCGCGCCTTTTTTAGTAACTTCGTATTAGATTATAAAAGACTTCCGCCGAATTTCGTACAGAAGCGTGATTGACATTGTCATTGCATGTGCTAGTACATTTTCTCTGCGAATGAGCAGTTTTTCAGTAAAAAAATATTTTGTGTGAAAATATTGAAAGGAGTTGGGTAAACTAGCAACAGAGAGTGCCCCAATTGAAGTGTGAAAAAACTTTTTTTAAGAATAGGAGAAAAAAACATCAGAAATGCATAGATTAAAGTCTATATTTTTGGGTAGTATTTTTAAAAAAAATTAGAAAAAATTGTTACGGTGTCTGGAGACCTTCAAAGAGGGTGGGGGCCAGTAGGAAAAAAATTCACATATTTTGCAACCCTCTTGATGAATTCCAATTTACTCAGCTATGAATGAATGTTTTTGATTTATCTGTCCAGGATTATGTAAATATATATTTATTTGATCCATACATACAATTGATTTAAACAATATGTACAGTTTAGAGGTAAGTAAAGCTTTGAAAGGACATTTCATGCTGAGTCTGGGTGACATTTTTATTCACTGGAGGTAGTAATCCTTTGAGTGTTTTCACATAGAGCATAACAAGTCTCCACTCTAATAAGTGCTTCTTTAGTTACATAAATGTTATATTGTTGCATACAAAGAATAATTTTGATGGAGACTTATTATGCTCGATGTGAATTTTAGAACTTTATAGAAAATTTTGCCTGCCATTTTTGTTGATTATTCAAAATGGCCAAATGCTATTCATGCTGCATATGTAGGAAGCAAGGGCATTATAAAATGTTAGATGCTAAAATACCTGAAACATCAAGTGGTTATATGTGCACAACATCTGAATCAGGTAGTTCAAGGGATGATGGGTAAAACTAATCAGAAAATGTTTCATTGTTATTTCATTAACAAGCCAATGATGAAATGTGTTGAGATTTTAGATGTTTTTCACCTTTTAGGTGATCTCCAAGAAGTGATTATCTCCGTTATCTGTACTTACTGTTTCCTAGACATTATCAGAATGATTGATAATAAACTTAATAGTTGCTTTAAAATTATGTTGAATAATATCATTATGTTGAATTATAATATATACAGTGTGTGTGTTTAGTGTGTGGTTTTTAGCATACCCTATGTCGCTAACAGGAAGCAGGACATATTTCTCATAAAAAATAAACATTACTTTACGAGTCAAATCATGAAATGTACATTCTGAATTTAAATGAATTAAAAATAATAAAGTATTTTCATTATTTTAGGTACTTTTGTTCTCTTTCAGTGTTGCGTGGGAAGGGCGGAATATATTAATATAAATATCTCATTATTGGCAAATTGCCAATTTACTATATATTGTAATTCCAACCTCTATGAGACTAAATTCCTACAGATATTTGTGATATTTTAAACAAAAAGGTATATTTTGGTAGAAAATAATGAATTTCTTTAATTTGACCTTGACCTGGGGAATATGACCTTGACCTAAATTTTCATACATTTTTGTACACATAGATTAATAATTAATTAATTAAATAAAGAGAAAACTTGAAAATCAGGTGGGGCTTAAAATGGCCTTGTTTACCCAACTCCTTTATTGTAAAAACGACCTGCTCCCTAACATTGACCAAATCAGGCGATGACATCCCGTGTAAATAATGAATTGAAAATATATAAGAGATTAGCCATGCCCAAGTCGGTATTTTTTACTTATCCTGATCTTGAATTATTACCAAAGAATTAGACTCATACATACAATTGAAAGATTACATATTATCCTGCATTTAGTGTACTAAATGTATAAAAACATTAAAAAATAAATTTGATATCTATTTATAAAATTAGCAAAATGGACAACCGGGGGATATCGCCACGATATACATCGGAAAACTAATGAGCGGAGGATATCGTGACGAGGATTTCCCGCTAAATTGAATTATTCGAACTACATAGATAAAAATGATATTCCTCAAAATCATAGGATATCCTATAATTACATTATGTTTTTATCAGAATGTCATACATAAATAAATGTGGCTGATTGAGTGATGGATATTTAAAAGAGGAGTAAATCTTTTTTCCATTTTACATCTTCCTACGAACTATAATGGGTGATTGAATGTCTAGTATTGAACAGGGTTAAATTTATTTCAATAAAATGTGAAGTTTTCTTAAAATCTTATATTAATATATCAAACGCTTGTTTAATATTGGAAATAACTCAATTTGTATTAACATGCAAAATAGCTTACTTACAGCGACATCTATTTTATATCGAGTTATGTATTACAGTTCAAATACTTTTTTAAGATAAAAAAAAACAGTTCAAATACTTGAGAAGATCACCAAGAATATCCGACATTTTTATGATTTTACATCCTGTGTAAATTAATTTTAGTGTGCTTTCTAAACTTAAATCACAAATCCAGATGAAATTCTTTACACATTATTTCGTTTATTGACAATTGTAACATGTGCAAACTATATGCAGAACACAAAAACTGTGTGTTTACGGTTCTAAATATTTATTTACATTTTTCAATATTCATTATTTACAAAATGTACATGAAAGTATGAAACTCGTTATCACATGATAATCTATTTAATATTTTGCATTTTGACTGTCTTGTATGTATTTAGTTTTATGATTTAGTATGCTCAAAATGGCTACTTGTGCAAACACATAGATTCAAAAGGTATATGTTAATACACCACATCCGCTGATTTTGACATCAGTTGTAGGTCTTTCATTTACAGTCTCTTGTTCTTCAATTCGTTTTAAAGTCTCTGTTCCCTCTATTATTTGTCTGAAATAAAAACATATATTCAAGTTAGTATTCTGTACATTTTTATGTTGGCTTCCAGGCTCATAGGGAGCTTTTGTCAAGGGGGTTCACTTTTCCAAAAATTCCAGGGGGGTTCACATTTGACAACATTTGACCTAAATCACTGGGGTTCAATTGATCTCTCACATAGTTCCACTGCTGAAATTGCTCTGTGTTGTCATTTCATAGAATTATCTCAGTATATGGCAGACCCTACTGTGAGGCAACTTGTTCAGAATTTTTTCTCAAATACAGTAAAATCTGTATATATTGAACATCTTTTTGCTGTAAAATCACGTTCAGCATTGTCAAATGTTCAATAGTGAGGGTAATTTATACATAAGTAGTAGTTTGTGTGGAGGAAGGGTGTCTAACAGAGACAGGTGTTCACTAGAGAAGTGTTCACTAAAACAGGCTGACAGGTGTATATATATCTTAATTTCTTCCTATAATTGTTTAATAATCTGATCAACTTTGAATGTCAACTGCAAAAAAACAATCAATGGTCACAAAGAATTGTGGCTATTAAAGTATATCCACTTCACTTCTTGTTGGTGACAGATGTGTCCCCACATGTATATCTAACAAGGAGTCTGTTGTATACTCACCCAAAGGCAACATATTTAGTGTTCATCCAAGGGGTTGGCTGCAGAGTGATGTGAAACTGAGAGCCATTTGTGTGTCTTCCATTGTTTGACATACTTAAGATTCCTCTTTTGTTGTGCTTTACTGCAAAGTTCTCATCTTCAAATAAAAAGTAGTTTGGTTTACAATGATTTTAGGGGTGAAGGCATCTGGTCTGTTTTGTATTTTGTCATGTTGCCCTTCGTGCAGCTTAACAAAAACATTGACCAGGGGGGGAGTGGTTACATTTTACAGAAGTGAAATAACATGTAAGTTGAAAGTATTGAACAGATCTATATATTACTCACTAAACATATATGAGTGAATAGGAAAACTATGTGATACAAAATCAGGTGAACATACCTTCAAACACTGGACCATATACAGATTCACCCCCATTGCCCCTTCCTTTCCAAATATCCCCTCCTTGTATCCAGCCATTCTTCACAATCCTGTGAAATATACTGTTCTCATAATGTAGCTTATATTCCACGTCTTCATCTTCATGATAAGAAGATCCTTTCTCGCCTGTACAGAGCAGTTTGAAGTTTTCACATGTTTTTGGTACAATGTCCGTAAATAACTACAAGAACAGAACAATGCAATATTTATAGTATACATGTAATCTTTTAATTCTGGTTCTCATCAAAATATGTTAATATATATCATGGTGTAATTTTGCTCATTTACGACTGAGCAATATGTATCAGAATTAAAACTGCTTATCAAAAGGGAATTGATTCCAAGTTGTCTTGCTCAAAGTTGTTACCCCATACATTTCATCTTTACAAAAGAGGGTATTCCAGAGACTATGCAAGACTGTGACTTTTTCATTAAAGAAACTTGATGCAAGATTATGATTTCTTCATTAAATAAAGTGTATGTACCTCTATCACAAGTTTACCAGCTGCTTTATCACCAATAGTAATATCAAGGTACACATGATCATGCTAAAAATATAAAAACAATAGATAAATTATTAACAAGGGGACTCCAATGCATGGGTTTCAATTGAATTAACTTATTGCATTTTATTTTCTCAAAATTGAAGATTTTTAGAAAGTGTTTATTTTTTGTCAAAGACAATATCAGGCACGTAGCCAGGGGGTTTGATGGGTTCCCGCCTCTCCTGGCCAATAAATTTTTTCAAAATCATAGTGTTTCACCATTCTGAGCACTTTATAAATGATTTTAGCCATTTTTGGACAAAAATTGTCAAAACTGAACCCCCCTGGAATTTTTCATGTTCCTTGGCAAATCCTGGCTACAGGCCTGAATATGACACACATTTTGTCCGCTAGGATATATTTTTTACTTTGAAAATATGTCTTCCTATGTTTCAATTATAATTCATCTGAAATAGGCTAATTATTTGCATTTGACAAAGAATCAACTTTGTATTCAATCAAAACAATCATTAGTCTAGATTTGCATATTTTTGAGCAGATACATACCTTTTGTGAGTTTAGATAGTTTACATAAGCTTCTTGAGTGAGTGTTTCATATAAAGTTTGTGGTCTGAAGTCTTCATAATTGTAGTTCTCTTCTGCCCATTGCGCAAATTCAGTTGGGCCCCCGATTAAAACATCATTGCAAAATGTAATCGCCTTTTTGTTAAATGCCCATGTCTCATCTTTCAAACGCTGAAATAAAAAAGTTAGGCTGTCAGTATATTTGGAGAACTGATATGGAAAAAATACATTGCAAAGAAAGAAAATATACTTTGAGCTATTGTTCATGCATACAGTACACGTGTATATCCAGATTACTAATCTAACAGATCCACAACCAGCTTTTGATAATTTAAGTTTATGCTGCTTTTAAGAATTTGAAGCTGAAGGAATTTAACTTCATTTTTGAAAGGTTTGGGACTGATATCTGCATTTGTATGGCCCTAACATTAATATAATGGTTAGAAAATAATATAAATAATCCTCTGTAACCTAAAAGACTTAACCATGAACTTAGCAAAAATACATGGATGATGTACATGTATGACTACAGTACATGTAAGTTAGAGATGTACAATGTGATGTATGTGTATAATATACTGTACATACCCTTCGTTGTTCTTCAATGTACTGATCCCATTCAAACTCTAGCATGCCCCTCACTTCAGGCTCAGGGAATATGTCCACTTTTTGTTCATGCAAATCCTACAAAATTAAAATAACAGGAAATGGGATACCATGGATAGCAAATCTACAACATGTACATTGAACATTTGTTACAGACACACCAGATGCTGCAATAGACGTCACGAGCCAAACACCAACCACTGAACACCAGCCATTTTTTGAGTAGAAGGAATCTGCAAAAGGTTCGTTTATTCTGATTTCGGATTTTTGCACAGGTGTGCGTATTCACAAATAAGAAAGACTTCATAATAAGATCACATTGCCATGTAAATGTGGAAAAGTAGTTTACAGTGACTTTATATGTGTGTGAATTTCACATGCGTTCGGGTAGTATTGCGAATGAAAACTTCCGGAAGTCACGAGAGAGCGAGTCAGTTTCACCTGAAATTTTACATAAAATTAAAATCTCTTGGATATTGTTCTTATGTTTTATGGTTGACACAACAAAGTCTATGGGCTGGGATTTATGAATGTTTAATAACTTCTAGAAAATTGACCCTGGGTAAGTGACAGTCTCAATCTTTAGCTAAGTCTTATTCTTTTAATTCTACTAACGCAGCCAGACTGGGAAAAAAATCTTCTACTTTTTTCATGGCCTGACTTGTTTAGGTACAATTTGAAATATAAGAGTAATCTGAAGTTAATTCTTATAGTTGAATGCCCATGATTAGACCCACACAGTACCCAAGTGGGTAATCACCTGATACAAAATGATTTCAAAGTGATTAAAATGTCGAAATGATTTATAAATCTCAAAATCAAAACAGGCATAGTTGACTAGGTTTAACCTAGGCCTAGATCTGAGAAAAAAAATTCAAAAAAGGAAATAATTTTGGACATTCGTCGATTTGTTCGATCGTATTCTAGCGTAATCTGACAGCCATGCGCATTCTCCTTCAATTATTTAATATATCAAATAAAGTTGTAATATATTTGCAAACCTGTGCAGAGCATCTTAGTACATGGAAGGTAATATCGTTCAATAAACCACAAATGGTGAGGTTTTCTTGCTTCTTCGTCGCCATTGCTGCTTTCACCATGACAACCGACCGGAAGAAAAATATGGGTCAATATATTATCACTCTTTCGACCAAGTAATGATTATATATCGTATTTTTATACCGAAAAGAACAAGACTCATTCAAAAGAACGCAGGTTTTTTGTTTTGACTTAATATAATGATTAACTTTGACAAAAACGATATAATACGATATAGCGCAATCCGGTAGAGCTACATTCAAAATTTCCCCGGGAAATTTGAACTTTGTTATGTTGATGTCTATAATCTTTATATATTAATAATTATTTCTAGATCAATTCACGGGGAGCCTCTAACTAATTTCATTGAAGTGAAGAAGTATCAATATATTCGATAGTTTATTTAAATTTCAAGTGTACTTACCTGTATCTCAGTCATATTCACACAGGCCCAAGAACAAGAGTTCTCAGTGAGTTGGGGGGGGGGAGGGGGTAGACTATATTCTATTTAGTCTGAATATATTCAGACTATAAGCCATCTATGTCAGTATGTTAAAGTTTGGTAATTCAAAATATTTGTTTACATAGGAAGTGCTATTCAAAATGGCCGATTGGGTAAAATTAATTTGCACATTTGTGACTTCAACTAGCTTTATTTCCACTTGACAACATGCTGTGTTACTTTTTATTGCATTCAATTGTACCTTACTATTTAATTGAATTTTTGTAATGTTTATTTTATTGAAGAAATGGTTCCTCTTATTGATAATTTTGTGCAAAAAAATTCACTGCAATTTTCACAGGACACAGTAGGCCTAGTATAACTAGCCTAGAAGACAGTCTGTTGGATACACACTAGGGGGGGGGGGGGGGGGGGGTGATTGGTGAATTCTTGTTCCTTGACCTTTGATCATAATTAACAACCTCATGCAAAAAAATCAATCACATATCTCAGAAAGCAGTTTCATTATTTGTTGCATACCCTGCTTGAAGTACCGGATTTTCTCGCATATACGCCCCCCTAAATTTAGGCCCATGGGCCAAAAATCTAATATAGTACGCTTATACGCACATGGGCCTATAAAAATGACTATTTATTGATTTTTTCAATAAATTCAAGAGTATTTTGTCACTGGCAGATCGTTCGTTACTTTGTTTCATTGTATTAACATTCATTAACAACTTAACATTCCATTGTATTCATCAACTCTTCTCACCTTTACGCCCACTGGGCCAAAAATCGAAAGTAGTACACTTATACGCCCATGGACGAAAAATAAGAGGTAAAATAACAGACGAAATTACCCCTTCTTTCAGTTATACGCCCAGGGCTTATATGCGAGAAAATCCGGTAACAAGGCAAGAATGCTCTGAATTAAATGCTAGGGGATTGATTGTTCATTCTGTACGTCAAATGGTACAGATGTTCTACATTGCAAAATATTTTTTTCCATTTGAACTTCCTATTCCATTTACACAAAGCCTTTGCCAAGGGAGATCACGTTTCAAAAAATCCAAGGGGAGTTCACATTTGACAACTATGGCCCAAAATCACTTGAAAAGTGTTAAGAATGTTTTCAGAATTTACTATATAGGCCTAGTATGCTTCTCCACTTTGTTCTACAGAATTTTATTTGAATTAGATTCTTGTGTATTCAGTTTATACCAGGAGTGTTAGCCATAAGACAACATTGCTTTACTTCAATAATTTTAATCCAGGGCTAGGTAAGGGAATAATGGAAATGTGATGTAAGTTACAGGGGCAGCAAAAGAGAGATCGCATTTGATGCGAACTTCTTATTATAGCTACAAGCCTATGTGCCCATTGCTGTGCCCTGCCCTCCCCAATTACACAGCTCTCCACAGAGTGAGATTTTTTATACCTCCTTTGTCACGGTGGGGATAGTCATCACGTGACCTTCGCAACTGATGGTGTCTGAACAAGGCATAAGATTTTCTCGATTAAGCAAGAAAATCGAATAATTCTCATATTTAAACTTTGTTAAATGCTTCAAATCCCGCCCCACTTGTGCATACTATCTCAGTCTTTCAAATGAACCTAAATTTACCAGCAGAGGGCGCATATTTTTAGAGATATCACTGTTTTTTATTGCGTAAAAATTCTGCATGATGGTGTCTGTACAAATTTTAAAATATACTACTTTGAAAGTAGTCCTCGTGTTGTCGTGTGTTTTTTAAATATGTCTGCTTCTTTCCAATGTGTTGTATCACTTGAACATGGTAATTTAGAAACTCTGGTTTCCAAATCCAAAGAGAGGGTCATGCTATGTTCTTTTTTTCCAAATAACCGAAATTAACCTAGAATTGTGATGTTTTCCTGTTATCACTGCCATCCATTGGTTGAATTTCCAACACTCACTGAAAGATTTGCAAATCATGTGTGGGACAATCATCCATCAGAGGAATTTAAATACATTGTGTATTTTCACCAGAAACTGGGCGATTAAGTTATTTGATCAGACGTTATTTATCCAATATTACAAAAGATTACTTGATGTACTCGAATGATACAATATAAAATTAGTTCCATCAATCGATTTAGACTGCCAAGGGATGGTATTATTCAGTAAAGCCTGTCACCTTTTGAGAGGCCAGAGAAACTATGAAATATTGGTGATGTCATTGGTTGTACAAAAACTTGTACCTTATACCCACGTACGTGACAGTCTTTAAAGGGTTTAATTTTTAAAGCTTTAAAGGATTATCCGATCAATTTTTTAAAAATAGCGCCATTCAAAGGCTCGTCCAATAGGGAAAATCTACGCTAAATTAGGTTTTAATATGTCGGGGATATGGTAAATGGAATTTTGTGCTTCATTTTGTTTAATCACAGCAAGGGGAACGATGATTTTAGTCTCGGGGATCGTAAATTCAGCCCAACACACGAAAGTGTAACTGTTTGCTCAATTGTGGATTGTGATTCCGAATTGGATGACGGGGAGAGTAGTACACCCATAAAGACAAGGTTGTAATGCAACCTAAATGTGGCAATATAGTCACACCTTAAAGACGATTTCCTGGAAGTCCCAAGCAAAAGAAAACAATTTTAGTGAAGATTGCTTCTAGTTAACGAGCATTATTAGATAAAGGATCCGCCATACTAAGTATATAAAACTACCCCCAGGTCATTCATAACCATATAATATGGTATTGTCGGACTTTGTACAAACGAAGGGTAATTTGTGTCAACAACTATATTACAAGTGGGTGACGTATGACAGGTATACGTCGCTGTGAAATCACAAGACGTAACAAAATGGCTTAAGTCCCTTCAACTCCTTTGCATAACATAAAAAACTAAAGATTTTGGTAGTGTGTCTATTCCATTTATTCTTACAAATCAATATAAAGTTCTTAACTCCACTGAATGAGCGCGATCCTCAATAAAATCTCAAAGAGTCCAATAATTACAAAATTACAAGTAGTCCCAAAAAGTCTCAGTGATCTCGGAGATTATGTTTCTTAAAGATCAAAGGAATGCTTAAATCCAAACTGATCACAATTGTCTCAATCTCAACTACTCTCAAGTATCAAAAATGATGATCCCGATCCTTCTTCAGGATCTTAAATCAGGCACAAAATTCAAAAAGTCTCTATATCAAAAGTCTGATCAAATAGTCTTCTAATCTCAATGATCTTGGGAATCAAAGACTTAATTCCATAAAACTTATCAGTTACATCTTCAAAATATCTAATCTCTACTCTATTATAATGTCGTTAGTACCTCCAAATGACCCTTCTTCAGGATCACGAGCTAACTATTTGCAACACAGTTTATTCCCTCATAATACATGCCATCTACATAAAGTTAGTCCCTCCGAATGACCTTTATTCAGGATCACGAGCTAACACTTCACATCTATATAAAGTTAGTCCCTCCAAATGACCCTTCTTCAGGATCACGAGCTAACAATTCACATCTACATAAAGTTAGTCCCTCCAAATGACCTTTATTCAGGATCACGAGCTAACAATTCACATCTACATAAAGTTAGTCCCTCCAAATGACCCTTCTTCAGGATCACGAGCTAACAATTCACATCTACATAAAGTTAGTCCCTCCAAATGACCCTTCTTCAGGATCACGAGCTAACAATTTACATCTATATAAAGTTAGTCCCTCCAAATGACCCTTCTTCAGGATCACGAGCTAACTCAACCTCATTGGTGATATTTAAATGGACAATAAACTCATGAAATATCAGTGGAACTGTTTCACTTACGTTTTCGTGTAAATACTTGAGCGCCGGTAATTCAAATTCACTCTGAAGTTTCTTCAATGTAATGTCGCAATTAAATTATCATTGATGTCTCCATTATGTCTCCAAAAACGGTCATTAAAATTGAATTTCTTCCGGACAAAATTCAACACAGCCCCGCCATTGATGAATATTGAAAAACATGGCGTCTAGGGGTTTACAAATTGTAAATCACGGCAAAATTTTCCCCTAAACTCCCGCCAAAAACATGAAATTGATCACAAGTTATATTGCCCCTTTTACTTGAAATGGGATTGGAAATCCAGGCTAATGCATAATAAACACACTATATTTATATAAAAACTACTTTAATTAAAGTTTACATTAAAATATGAAAGAGTAATTAACTTGACCTAAGTTTGACTACGTTCGTAAATTTACAGATGGCTGCCGTAAGCAGAAAATGTTTTCAAAAGATGCGTCAGAAATACACAAAATCTACACTCTACCTTTAAATTATAAACGCATCATGGTAATCTCTGGATTATAACAATTGATACTATGATAAACATAACATGTAATTTACCTTTACAGTGGTAGCAAATCCTGTCCGAAATTGAGAAAAATTATGTGCTCCAGACGACAGACGACACAAGTATAACGCGCATCTATTTTGCGCATGACGGGTTGCTATGCAACTCAGCGCCCTTACATAAAATTACAAAATTGACATGGCATATATTTAATTTTCCCACATACCCCCCTACTAAGACAAGGCGCCCTCGCCGTAAAAACTTATACTACTATACAAAAATATAATTACCTATTTAACATAATCTCTCTTATAAAAATATATTACCTGTTTAAAACAAAATTGCACAAGTGACATTCTGTAACACAATTATATACAACTATCACAATTATATACAATATAACAATATGTACAAAAACATGATCCGATGGACTTCTAGTCCACCCCCTGAAGCACCGCCTCGCTTCAAGGTATGCCGGACTCCTTTAAGCTCCTAAGCTTAAGTCCACCGACTCTGGGATCAACACTATCAAAGACTATGATTACAAAAACATAATAATCTTTCCTACTGTACCACTTATGATCACTACATAATCTTTA